AAAAAAAAAAGCTAATCCATTTGTTTTTCTACTTAACTGCTTCTTTATGGACACGGTTTCTTATGCTTCAGAAAAAAGATTAATAATTCTTGTCTAAAACTTACTACTCCCTCCCGATGAGCGCTCCTCGGAAATGTTCGGTATTACGAATTTTAATGCCGCAAAGAAGGGCTCCGCGTGCTCTAGATTTCGGGTGCAGCAGATTTTTGTTTATTTTTTTATCGTAAGTGCAATGTTTAAGAATTTTTTTGGCGGAGAGTTTGGTTTGATACAGCAATTCCATTGGGCGTAGGAAATTTTTGAAAAGAGCATGAAAAAAATGTTTCAAACTCTGCCAATCACTGAAAAATTGTCCGATTTACATTCGGTTTGGACAGGGTAGCATGTTTTTTTGCGTAGAATTGATTTCTGAAATAAAAAAGTAGGGGTGCCATTTGAAAAGTTCGACTTACGGGTGGGGCACCCCCCGCCCCGCGCCCCTCCCGCGGTTTGGGAAAATGTCGAATACGTCAAAAGGTGTCCCCCTCGATATAAACGAACACGTTTTTTACCGTTTTTCGAAATTCCGACGCGTTCGGCAGATATTCAAGGTGGCTCGTTTTTCGTGAGACACCCTGTATAGATAGCTAAAATAACCAGAATTATCTGAATTGGGTAGAAAACCCCTTTCCTGCGATCATGTTTTTTTCTTCTGAATTAAAAATGGCAAATATTTATCCCCGAGATTTTAGTATAGTTTCTTAGAAGTATCCCGTAGCGAATGCTTATTATTAGTTTCAACCGTCATATAGATTGAGAGAAAGCGATAACACAATTCAAAATTCCAGGAATGAAGGGAGCACAGAATACATCAGAATTCAGATACTAAATCTCAAATATTCAAAATAAAGGGTTAAAAGAAGCAGGAGTCCAAGTCGATGGATAAAGTCTGAAGCGGGAGTTTGCCGCCGGTACAAATTTTGATTTGTATAAATTGAATGTCTGGAAAAACGGGTAAAATGCATTTCGGAGGGATTTTCTTCTTACTTTCGTTCCTTTTTTTATATTAAATATTCTTAAGGAGAAGTGCAAACCCTTGAAATGCCTGGAAAACTTGGCTCGTGAGCTCCAAAACTAAAATTTTTCCTCGCTCAATTACATTGCTCGGATTGGCACTGCGTTTGTCGACCGAAAAGTTTTCGGCGAGTTTCCGGCAGTTTGCACGAGGAAATTCAAATCGCCTTAATTTTTTTTTTTTTTTTGGGGGGGGGGGCTATGTGACAGGGGCATCCATCGTCCTGGAACTGTTGTATTTAGGCGTTGTTATCCCGACCCATCAACGCGTTTGTTGGCCGAGACTCCCGCAATTTGCGCGATGAATTTAAAACTGGCATTCAACACATGGCACATTCAAACATTTTATGGTAGAATTAACTCTGAGTTGACGCTGTGTGAAATACAGCGTCAAGGAATGGTAAATTCTACCACCTTTTTTTTCAGTATATACGTGTTTATCCGCCAAGACTTCCACAGTTTGTCCGAGGAATTCAGAACGCCCTCATTTTTCGGTCACGCAACATCGACCACTGTACCCGACTGTACCCCACCTGATTACATCGCCTAGATATTTTGTGCGGAGTCTCTAACATACCGATGGCCAAGGTGCAAAATCACAAAATCAAATTTTTTTGCGACGCTGCAGACTTCTTGGCATACATTATTTTTCCTTTGAAAGCTAGTGGACGTAATTTCTTAAAAAAATCCCTGATACTTCTCTGTAAGCAGCATATTCCGCATGGACTTAAAGCTTTAAAGTTAGCTTGTTCCTCTTTAAAAAAATGAAAGAGGAGTAGAAGTTTTAAGAGACCAGAATGTAAATACGTAGTTTTGCACTTTTGCCATGCTGCCTTGCTGAGGAAGAACGACGTATGAACATTCGAGAGTTGCCAAACTTCCTCCGCTAAGATGTTTCTTTCTAAAAAAAAAAAATTATGACTATTTTCCTTTGAAATTTTCAGATACTCTAGATTAAATTGTAATTGAACTCCTGTAAAAAATTGGTAGAAAAATATCCACAAGTTTTCCAGGAATTTCTTATTTTATTGAAGGAAATTTGGCAACGCCTGAAGGCTCATTCGGCGTTTTTCCTTGGTACGACAGCATGGATACATGGTCTCCGGGAATGAGCCTAAAACTTAGTTCTGTGAGAGAGGAAGCAATATACACCAAATGAGGAAAAGTCCACTTACTTCCATTCAAGATCCTCTGCTTATAGTTGTCAGCCATGGTTCTGGGTGCCGGCCTGGGACAGGCTCGGGGCGGGTCTTCACTGTTGCGGGGTGGGACCGCGGGGGCCGGGCCCGGAACCCCCGGGGGCGGGACCCGGTCGGCGGCGAGCTGGAGGCTCCGGGAGCGCTTCACCTTGTTGCTGCGCGACACGGAGTCACTGGAATGATGCGAGACCAAAGAGTCCTTGGAGGAGTTGAGGTAGTGGGAGTTGTGGCTCACCGAGCGGCGGAACGGCGCCGAGGAGGCCGGCGAGTAGTCGCTCGACGAGGACGACGACGGCGACGTACAGAAGTTCTCGGCCTTCTTCGCCCGACGGTACTTCTCTCGCTTCTTCGTCTCGGCACACGAGTCCGGCGACGAGTTGATCACCGTCATCGTCGAGTGTGCACTCAGGTTCAAGGAACTATTGTTGTCGTCTTCGTCGCCATCATCGTAGACCGACGAGTCCGTCTCGCAGAGTTTCGGCATGGTGCGATTGAGCGTGCTGTCGAAGCTCCTGAACCCGGCCGAAGACGAGGAGGATGACGAGGAGTACTTGTGGTATTGGGTGCGGCGGCTGGAGGTCTTGGTGGCGTCGTCGAAAGACCTAGTGTGCGGGATTTTGGCTCCTGGAGAGGGCGTCAACTTCCGGCGCGGTCCTTGAGGGGTGTGCGGCGAGGCGCTCCAGCTCCTGTGGAACGGGGGCGAAGCGGGTGGGCTACCTTCTACGGCGTCGCTTCTCGTGAAGTTGAAAGAGCGGGAGGCGAGCGTCTTGGGGCGGTTGACGGTGTCGAAGCGCTGGTTATGATCCTGGAAGGCCGGCGGCGGGGAGATGATGGCGTTGCTGTCTTCCGACTTGGAGGTCTTGAGCTGCGACACCTGCATGACCCTCTGGCTGGAGGTGAATTGGTAGCCGGGCCTGTTGAGGATCTCCAGAGGGTCGGGGGTTGAGTCCAGGGGGTAGCGGAGGGAGTGGGAGTGGGTGAGGTTTCTGGAGGGTGGCGTGGGGGGTTCCTGGGGTTTCTGCGGGGTCCTGTCGAGGGACTTGTGTTGGACTTGGACCCAGCCGGAGCGGCCGAGGAAGACGCCGTCGACCTCCTGGTCGCACCAGCGGACCGGGGACAGCTCGCGGGAGCAGCCGTTTTCTTTGGCCTCGGCGACGCCCGAGGCGAAGAGGCCAGCCGACTTGCGGCGCGCCAGGTTGCTCGTGGCCATGGCGTTCTTGAGCAGCGTCGCCGACGGGACCGTGCACGCGCTGTTCATCTGCGAGAGCCGCGAGTTGCGCGCCGGGGCTGTGTTGCGCGGGAAGCAGGATTCCCACGGCTCCGAGGTGCTTCGCAGGTGCAGCACCGACACGTTAGGCCCCCTGAAACACAACGAAAAATCTTATTAGTTTTTCAAAAGGTACCAACCATTGAGAAGCATTCGTGTCGTCAGAAGTTATATGCATTACTGGAGCAGGTCACAGAATTGCATTTTGCAAAAAGGAACCAAGAGCATTCTATTGTTGCTAGGATTGTGCAACTTACATTCTTTGCCACACAATTACCGAAATCACGCAAAAAAATAAATTTACAAAGGTAATTTCTGTCATGAATTTATAGTTTACTGAGAGTAAAGATGAATCTTCTTTAGATGACTAGTTTACATTTGCGAGATGAACAAAGTTACACAAGCTTAGCGACATATGCTCTTGGTTCCTTTTTGCAAAATGCAGTCCAATTGCATTTTCATGGTCCAATATTATTGGATTGCATTTTGCAAAAAGGAACCAGAAAGAATCCAATAATGCTAAGATTGTGCATTTTCATCCTTTGAAAGAAAATTACTGAAAACATGAAAGAATATGAAATTTAAATGGTAATTTTTTTCTTAAATTAACAGGTTTTAGCGAGTAAGATAGAAACTGTCAATGGATAATCAGGTTTTTCTTCCAAAGCAAAAGAAGTTGCACAATCTTTGCAACATTGCAATGCTCCTGGTTCCTTTCTGCAAAATGCAATCCATACGGAGTAGCAGAAAACAATATGTCCGTCCAAACGCATAGTTTCAACGTCCAATATTCATGGAGATATCATCCTTTGAAAATAATTGAGCCTAGCGTTATCCAACAATACAGTATATACAATGATTTTTCCCACCTTACAAGGACCGGTAAAAAAACCATATAAATCAGCGAAAATCAGAAGAATTTTCACTTATTAAGAAGTAAAATGTATCAGAATTACGCATCGTAAATAATTGAGAATATCTAAGAAATATCGTAGATTCTCGTAAAAATTTAATTGTTTAAGTCAATTTTGCAATCTAGGACTCCTTAGAATGGAGTTACGTTTTTTATTCTTGTAGGAAATTACGAACGGACGACGCACGGTATACACGGTGCGCCGCACATTGGATCGAGTCAGTAGGAGAGGTCGGTCAAAATTTGGAAACTTTCAAAGCTTATAACTCCGTCCATACAAAACTGTGAGGTCTTAAAAGTGGTTCCATTGGTTTTCCCGTGCAATTTCCTTTCCGAGACACCCCTTAAAATTTAAAATGTGACGAATAAACATCTAAATTTGCAGTTTTAGTCGTAAATTTCATGTTTGATCTCTCTGATTAACTCCATTCACTGTGTGCCGTGGATCATAGCCCCTGCATGCAACTATTCGTACTCTCTGGATGTCTTCGTTGCATACACATTGAATTGAAGGCGCTTTGGGTTGCCCTGCAGTCCGAGGCACGAATCACTTACTCGCTCTCATATATAGTGACACACATAATTTTACTGGTTGCTCGACTTAAAACATGGATGAAACCAAAGTGCCCGATAATATTTGACTTGGGAAGTCGGTGTTCGAACTAATATTCCTATTTTTTACTAATCTGTGAAGCACGTCTAAACGTGACCGACGAAACAAACCCATTAGAAATTATGCAGTGGCCGCAAAAGCTGTGATTAGCTGTGTGTATTTACTCCACTTGAATAACTTGCTTCTTTCTTTCTAAAATAAATTTAACTCTGGATGTTTTCCCATACCAACAATCGCCATCTCTACTCGCTTATTGGGTTATGTCGCCTAGGAAGTAGACAATACAAAAAGACGTATAAATCATAGATTTTTTTTCTTTTTATTTGCTTGGCAGTACCGTATCGGCCTCACAATGACAAAGTATAAAATTGATGGGGATTGGTTGATGGAAAAAGTTACTACAAAAAAGCCTACGACGGTTTCTATTAGAATAACAGTTTGTTATTTTGCAATTGAATTCACACGCTACATTGGCAGGCTGTATTTTTGTACTAAAACTTTTGGTATGCGTCATTAATATTGGCGAAACGATTATCGCGAACTGACCAAGTTTGAAGCAAGCTACAGTGTTGAAAGAGCGTGTTTTATGAACGTTAATTAACTGGTGCCCGTATGGGGGACTGATGTCACAGGTTTAGCAATCCTGCGGACCCCAGCTGGTAACCCCTGCCTCATGGGGTAGTGGAGATGGTCACCGGCTTCAAGGCGTATGAACCACCCATTGGAAGGGCAGACAGGGCTCTCAGCTGTAGTGGAAGCAACCTGTCTAGGAGAGGAAACTCCGAAATCAAACCCCGGTCCTCCAGGTTGGGGGTTGAGTCATCGGGCTAACTCCCCGATACTCGGAAAAAGGAATAATGTTAAAAGACCCAATAACAATTGCCTCGGTACAAATGGAAATAAACGGATTTATCGGAAAAAA